CCCCAAAACCCCAAAATCCCAAAACCCCAAAACCCCAAAACCCCAAAACCCCTATTTGTAATTATATAATTGATAAATTATAATATGTTTGCTAGCTTCAGAAGTAGGGAATCTTTTTAAACGAATATAGGAGTTGGGTTCCAATTTGGAAGAACTCATTCCATGCAGCCGAATATGATAAATTCTTTGATGTTTACACCTAACAGGTATATGAAGAAGTGGTATCAAAAGAGACATAAAATTAAGATTCATAAAATAAAGAAGTTACCATGTATTCCAACCTCCATGCAGGCTGTTCCTGCGGATAAGTTTGACTACGAGCTTCAGTCAAAAGAGCAGGTTAAGAACCAGTTAGCAACAAGAGATATTTACCCAGTAGATGTCACTAGGGTAATGCTCGAGAAGACAGGTATTCCATTAACTTTAAAGCATGGAATGCCCACACAGTTTTATGAAGAAATGTGGCCAAGACTGGCCTTCGATTTGGATGACTTTTCCTTTTCATCCGCTCAGAAGGAGAGGTTCATCTTCTTGTTAGGCCCACGATACAGGGGTGACTCAAAAGTGAGTTTGACTTGTAAGCAATATGACACTTATGAAAAGAATATGAAGAGGCTTATGGAGATATTTAATGAACTCATTATTGAGTCCATGAGAGCTCCTCAGAAGGATCTTAATGCGCTCAAATGTCCTTACAGAATGCAAAGAATGAAGAGAAAGCTAGGCAGAACTAGAGAAGAGAGACTCAAGAAAAAGCAGAAGATGGAGGAGAGAAATCAGAAGTCTATTGAAATGTACAATGAAACTGGCAGAACTCTTCAACATCAAGAATTTCTGGATCAACTCACCAAAGATGCCCAGATTCAGCAAGGAACTTACAAGAAAACTGGCAAAGATCCTGTTTACGATGGCATGCAGACCTCTCTAGAGAAAGCCCTTGAGAATGATCCTGATTGGAAGAAGGAGAAGGAAGAGAAAGGATTTTTCAGGGAAGATTTTGAGCCAACACTTGAGGAGTTCTTGAAGAACATCAAGCTTGTCAAGAGAAATGAATAATATCAGGCTACCAATATTTTATACTTTATTGGGGTTTTGGGGTTTTGGGGTTTTGGGG